TCCAGGATCACACTGTCAGCAGCCCTGGTTCCTGCTGAGCACTTTGGGGAGGATATGGTCCGACCCTCTCTCCCAGGTTCTTGCTGGTGGTCCTCGGCATTCTGTGGCTTGTCGAAACATCACCCCCACCTCTGCCTTCATCTTCCCTGTGTGTGTCTGCGCTTCCCTATTTATAAGGACACAGTCATGTTGGATTAGGCCTGCCCTAATGACCTCATTCTAACTTGGCTTACTCTATAAAGACCCTGTCTTCAAATAGGGTCACATTCTGAGGTCCTGGGGGTTAGGACTTCAACGTATGAATTTTGGGTGGGGTGGTACCATTCGACCCATAACCCAGCCTCCTTATTTTTGTAATAGAGACAAGTATTCTTCTTTTATATATGTTACTTGTAGAAAGGTCGGATACTATAGAAATCTATGAAGAAGAAGGTCATTCTCTCCCATAATTCAATGACCCAAAGTAGCGTAAGCAATTATTCAGGGAGATACATTCTTCCACACTGTTTTCTCTGGATATAAGAGATACACTTCTCTTTTTACAAATGTCAAATTTACAACCTCTATAACCTGCCATTTTTATTTCCTCTATCTTGGAAGACATCCCATTATGATACACATCGGTCCACAGCTTTTTTATTGGCTTCATATCATTCCATGGGAACGTTTTTTATCTTCATTCCTGTCGGCTTTGTCAAATGAGCAACGTAGTTTATTTTTCTACTTTCCATTCCCCAAAACCACACCGTGCTGTGCATCTTTGTGTGTGGCCCTGAATATTTCTATGGGACGATTTCCTTAAGGGGCATTGGTGGGTGAAGGGAGTTCAGGGTTTGGGAGCCTCTAACTGTAAACATGTTTTCCCTCCTGACTACTTTTCCTCCTTCCCCCTCAGCCTGGCAGGTCCCAATCCTGGCCTTGTAGGGAGACAAGAGGCTGCTATGTCACTCCATGTCTGAAAGAGCTGGCGGTGGCTTGCTGTGCCTGGGTTCCATTTCCTGTCCCCTTCCAAAGCTGCCCAGGTCACACTCCAGCCTTCTTGTCTGCAGCTCCCGATTCCTTCCTCACCCCCCTATTAAAAGGCCAGGGATAGGTTCATGGCCCTTCTCCTGTCCCTCCCATAGGCCCCAGAGCATCGGATACTGATGAGAAACATCCCATATTGGCTTCAAATCTCATCAAACCCCAGCTATGGGCTGCAGGAAATGGCCCTGCTTCCTAGAACCCCAAATTAACCAGCCCCTTGATTCATCCACTTAGGATCCTAGCACTTGAGTGTTTTATGTTATTTTTTGACAGATCATGGGCAATTTGTTGTTAATTTCCCCTGAGAGCTGGTGAGTGGAGAGGCAGGCTAACTTCTGTCTCTCGCCCCCTGGAATGCCATCTGCCTAAACAAGACAGCTGGCCCATTAGTCAGAGGAAGCACCCCCCAGTGCCTGCACCATCCATTTGATTAGCACTAAGGAGCATCTGCTCACAGGCGGCCTGGCGGACGGACGCTAGGAAGCCAGCCCACCAGCCAGGCCAGCTGCAGGGCAGCCGGAGCCAGCAGCACTGATGGAATGGGGCTGTTCAGGTGACAGCACCCGGCTCTGGCTCCGTGCCCTGGCTCCTTCAGTGTGCCAGCCGCACCATCGTGGGCTCCTGGCATTCCACACACCCACAGGTCTTCTGTGAGTTTGTGGCCCCACCTCCTCATTTTACAGGTGAGCCAACTCAGGTGTGGCTTGAGGGGCCTGACACGGCCAGGTTTCAAGGAATGGTAGAGCCAGAATTAGAAGCCAGCTCCATGCGCCTCCCCCCACACCCCAGCCCAGGGTTCCTCCTAACAGCCTCCCTTCCCTTTTAGAACCAAGATCCCCTGGCCGTTGAGTCCATGACCCCCTAGCTGTGTGTCCTTGGACAAGTGGAGGTGAACTCTCCAAGCCTCCATTAACTCCTTCATGAAACGGGAATTCAGCCTGCTTGTGCTGTGGGCCTCGGGGGTGGATAGTCAGTGGCACTGTCGTTCTTTCCACTTACAGGGGTTTCGCTTACAGGGGAACCCCAGGGGAGCTGGGGCAGCATGATTGGGGTGATCAATGGCCGGAAATTTGGTGTGGCCAGACTCAACACCAGCGTGATGCAAGAGGTGCGCTCCGGGGTCAGCAGCATCCGCAGCAGCATCCACCATGTCCCAGCAAACGTGGGTGAGTGGGAGGCAGAGCATCGCCTGCCTCTGGGCCATTGTCTCAGCCCAGCAAGGATCCTCCAGAACGTGCTGGACCTAGGAGGGGGCAGAGCCTGTACCCTGAGACTTGCTCAGGGCCTGATGACCAGAGCATGTCTGACCACCTCTCAAAGCTGGGTGCAAGCCAAAGTGGACTCAGGTGCAGGCAACTTCCTGTCCCCCTCACAGCCCCCCCAAAACAAAGTAACTGCATTTACAGTTAGACCCAGAGTGTGTGAAACGGTCAGTGTTCTGTGGGTGTGGGCGCTCAGACTGTGGTTTCCCAAGCCACCGATGGCTGCCTGAGGCTTTTCCCTATTTAAGTTAAAGCCCGGGTTGATGGAAGTGGAGGGATCTCCAGTCATGAGTGAGGGGTGGGGGCTGGAGGTGACGGGAAGCGGGAAACAGGGAGGACTGAATTGCCCAGAAAACCTAGAGGACTAAGAAGAGTCACCTGCACACAGAGCTCTCATGTACGATGTCTGAGCGATGAATGCTCTGAGAGACTTGCAGAGCTTGTGACAGTGGACGTCACTGTCTCTCCCTTCCCAAGGAATCCCTGGTCCCTTGTGGGGGTCTAGGACGGGCAGTGCTCATGGGGTCTTCACTAAAAGCAGCTCTTCTGAAGCTGCCCTTGGCCATGGTCCTGCTTAAGCAGTGTGGGGTCACGGGATTTTGCTGGGGAAGTCACTCTGAGCTGGCTGTCAACAGACAGCAGGTGAAGTGAGACACTGCCCAGACATGGCGGCTTATTCCAGCTGCAGGAGTGCGAGGCCTGGAGAAGCATCTGGCCCCAAGCCCGCAGGCCAGGCTCTGTTGCATGAAACAAGCGCACGGAGAGGCTGAGAAGGTGGTGCCCATGCACAGGGGCCTGGCCGGCTCATGCGAACCTTGCAAAGCTGGCACCGTCCCTGACCCCAAGCAAGTGGGGAGTGGATGTGTTCCCCTTGCCCAGTCCATGGCCCCGCCTGGCTCTATGTGGAGGGCGGGGCATCACCTGAAGAAGATCTGAGAATCCACGTCCAGGGTCATTTTTTGGTTCTTTTTTCAAATGGTTTGGAACAAACCTGGGCTTGTCCAGAAGGGATCTGCAAGTTAGAATAGTTGGTTGACTTCAACTCAGCAAATATGTCATGACAGTCCGTGGAGTCCCTGGCCCCGTGGTGACCCAGGGGCCCTCAATCGGTATTTGTTGAACTGAGTTAAATATCAGCAAGGTACATGCATTTATTTCTTCTTTTTTTTCTTTTTGAGACTGCTTCTCGCTATGTTGCCCAGGCTGGAGTGCAGTGGTACAGTCACAGCTCACTGCAGCCTCAACCTCCCAGGCTCAAGCGATCCTCCTACCTCAGCCTCCCCAGCAGCTGGGACTATAGGCGTATGCCACCACACCTGGCTAATGTTCTTAATATTTTTATTTTTTGTAGAGACAGAGTCTCACTATGTTGCTAAGCATTTCCTTGTATACATTTATTAATTTCACAGTTATTCCAGGAAGTAGATTATTTGCCTCCACCAGGTCCCGGATTCTGGTTAAATAATTGGTATGGCAGTCACAAGGCAGCAAAGGAAGGGGCTAAGCTCTCCTGGGGGCAGTAGGGAGCCATGACGGGACCTTGAGCGGGAGAGTGGCTGCCCTGAGGATCAGCTCTAACCTGGCCTCCACGCCCTGCCCCACCCAGGACCTCTGATGCGGGTGCTCCTGGTCACCATCGCCCCCATCTACTGGGCCCTGGCCAGAGAGAGTGGGGAAGCCCTGAATGGCCACTCCCTGACCGGGGGCAGGTTCCGGCAGGAGTCACACGTGGAGTTTGCTACAGGTAAGCAGGGCCTCCCCTAGGTGGGCCAGGTAGGACTGAAGCCTGCGCCCAGGACCTCCCGTAGTGACTCTGGGCTGGGTGGGGATGGATTGCAGGGGAGCTGCTCACGATGACCCAGGTGGCCCGGGGCCTGGATCCCGATGGCCTCCTGCTCCTCGACGTGGTGGTCAATGGCGTTGTCCCCGAGAGCCTGGCTGACGCAGATCTTCAAGTGCAGGTCAGGGGTCAAGCCCTGGGGTGTGCAGACAGGGTGGATGAGAGAGACAGAGGCACCCTGCTCTCAACCACCCCTGAGCAGCCAGGCCTACTCTCCCACCTGACACCGCTGCAGGGCTGGGTCACATTCTGGCCTTGGACTTAGGGTAGGATGAGCAGTTGTTATAGGCTCAAGTTCGAGCCCTTGAGGGGATGCTCTGAGCCCTGCGACTCCAAATCAGACTATTCTTGTTCAAAAGCAAGAGTCCTGAAGACAAGTGAGCTGCCCAGAGCAGCCCAGCTGGTTAGAAGAGGCTCTGGGAGGCTCACCCTGTCTCCTCCCAAGGCTCACCCCGTCTCCTCCCATGGCTCACCCCATCTCCTCCCATGGCTCACCCCATGTCCTCTCAAGGCTCACCCCGTCTGTTCCCAAGGCTCACCCCGTCTCCTTCCATGGCTCACCCCGTCTCCTCCCAAGGCTCACCCCGTCTCCTCCCATGGCTCACCCCGTCTCCTCCCAAGGCTCACCCCGTCTCCTCCCATGGCTCACCCCATCTCCTCCCATGGCTCACCCCATGTCCTCCCAAGGCTCACCCCGTCTATTCCCAAGGCTCACCCCGTCTCCTTCCATGGCTCACCCCGTCTCCTCCCAAGGCTCACCCCATCTCCTCTCAAGCCTCCCCAAGCCCCTGAGTTGAGGTGAAGGTCTCAGGCTGCTTGGGAGTTGAAATCTCAGCATTTTCCTCCTCCCCTTCCAACCTTGACCCCTTTCTCCCTCTCCCCTACCCCTCCTCCTCCTCCCCTCCTCTTCATCTTGCAGGACTTTGAGGAGCGCTATGTGCAAACAGGGCCTGGCCAGCTGTTTGTGGGCTCCACACAGCACTTCTTTCAAGGCAGCCTCCCCTCGTTCCTGCGCTGCAACCACAGCATCCAGTACAACGCAGCCCGGGGCCCCCAGCCCCAGCTGGTGCAGCACCTGCGGGCCTCAGCTATCAGCTCAGCCTTTGACCCACAGGCCGAGGCTCTGCGCTTCCAGCTCACTACAGCCCTGCAGGCGGGTGAGGCCCCCCTGCTTTGTCGCACCCCCACTGCCCCAGCTAAAACCTGCCAGGGGCCCAAATGCACATGGCTGGAATCCACCCCTGCCCCTAGCATCCACTGACCATGGGCCAGAGATTTCAGACTGAGACAGCCCACCTGGCCTGCTCACTTGGCCTGTCCCCACTCCCATCCATCCACCTACCCTCCTCACAGGGACACAGTTCTCTAAGCCACCCCTGCTTCAACCTCTGGATCCTTTCCCCAGGCCCCAAGGTGAAGGTCCAACCACCCCAGGCTGATGTTCAGGAATTGAGTCACCCCGCCCTCTTCTCCCATGGGCACCTGCACCGAGGCCCCACCCAGGGAGGCAGGAGCCACTGTTGGAACCCTGGAGACCCACAGAAACATGCTTTCTATTCTTACCCAGTGAATGCTAAAGATACACACGTTCACATAACTTGAGGTTCCAAAGTGTTTTGAACATTGAATGAGAGACAGTGATAAGAGCACTGCTTTGAGGTCAGGCAGACCCCAGTTCAAATCCCAAGTGCACCACTTTCTGGCTGTGGGACCTTAGAGGCAATGTCCTGGTCCCCTCCGACCTTCAGTGTTCCCATCTGCACAGCAGGCATGACATCGCCTGCCTTGCAGGGTGTCACTGTACAGATGTTGTCTCTCAAATCCTAGCCTGGCACCGCCTCATCAAGGGTGGCTGTCCCTACAATTAATTACAAGCTTGTCCAACCTGTGGCCCACAGGCCGCATGACACCCGGAACAGGTTTGAATGTGCCCCAACACAAATTCGTAAACTTTCTTAAAACATTATGAGATTTTTTGCAATTTTTTTTAGCTCATCAGCTATCCTTAGTGCTGGTGTATTTTATGTGCGGCCCAAGACAATCCTTCTTCCAGCATGGCCCACAGAAGCTGAAAGATAGGACACCCCTGATTTAGACTGTCTTGTGTCCTTCCCGCCTCCAGAACCCAGCTCACCCCTCCCCGCCTTTGTTTTTGCTGCCCGTGCGACACTGTCCTCTGCCCCTCCGCACGCTCTCTGTGCATTGCTGCTGTGGTCTCAGGAGAGCCGTTCTGCACGTGTTGACCTCCTGTGTTTTATTTTAATGGTTTTCCTGGGGCTGCCTGACTCACTGCCCAGCCCCACTGGGAGCCCCTTAGGACACATTTCCTTGACTGGGTGTGCCCTGCAGTCATCACCTCCAATAGGCCTGGGCAGGAAATGGGCTCACTGACTCTCTGGCACTGTCTTGGCTTTGCCTGGCTAAGCTGGCGGGTGGGGAGCTGCGAGCCTGGGTTACGGCCAGGGCAGCCCTGGGAGAGGACACCCTCATGTCCTTAGAGTCTATCCTCTTTGTCTTGCAGAGGAGAATGAGGTCGGCTGCCCTGAGGGCTTTGAGCTGGACTCCCAAGGAGCATTTTGTGTGGGTGAGAGCCCCCCACCCTGGCATGGACGTGGGAGGCCTCTCAGCCTGGGATGGATGGCCTCTCCTAGCCAGCTAGCAGGAGGCTGGGAGCAGAGACCACCAGATCCTTTCCTGCCCCAGACAGGGACGAGTGCTCAGGAGGCCCCAGCCCCTGCTCCCACACCTGCCTTAACGCACCCGGCCGCTTCTCCTGTGCCTGCCCGGCTGGCTTTGCCCTGGCCTGGGATGACAGGAACTGCAGAGGTGAGGGAGCCCCTGGGAGGAGAGGTCCTCCTCAGACATGACCCAGGTGTGTGGAAGGGTCCCCAGGGCCAGGACCCTGGCTGGACACAGACCTGCAGGGATGGCCCATTCTCGAGGGCATTTGATGTCAGCGTGGAGGTCCCAATGCCATGTCCCCACCAGGCTCCTTCCTGCTATGGGAGCTGCAGACGAGTGAGGCCCAGGTTTCAGGGGGTGATGGGCAGCCCAAGAGACATAGGGGCGGTTATCACATGCTCACAGCCTTGTGAACCTGAACAGGCCTCGGAAGCTTTCCCAACACTCAGCATCATTTCCAATTGACTGAGACTGGCAAGTGAGTCGTACTCCTCAGCAATGTTGCTGGATGACAAATCTGACCTTGGGTGGTGGTGCTGATGCTGACCCCCAATCTGTATCTCTGCACTCCCACCAGGAGGGTCTGGTGCCGGCAAGTCTCCACTGGGCTCCAAGCCAGGTGCCCAAGGGGACGTTGTCTGCAGCCTTTCATTAGAAGCTGCAGGCCCAAGCGCTCGGGTCCCTTGGAGTGGGCCCTGTGTTTTGGGGTAGGGAGCAGGACAGTGGAAAGAGCTAGCAGAAGGGGTGGGGCCCTTCCTGCCAGTGGCTCCTGGGCCTGCAGACGAAGCCTCTGTGGATAGGCTGGGCCAGGGTCAGGTGGCGAGGCAGGCCTGGGGATCGTGTTCACACAGCCGTCTGCCCTGATCTGCCCCCAGATGTGGACGAGTGTGCGGGGGATGCTCGCCTCTGCCGAGAGGGACAGCGCTGTGTGAACCTGCTCGGGTCCTACCGCTGCCTCCCCGACTGTGGGCCTGGCTTCCGGGTGGCTGCTGACGGAGCCAGCTGTGAAGGTGATGGGGACACAGTGTGCGGCCTGTCCATACTCCTGGAAACCCAGAGGTTGCCAGGGATCAGCTGATAGGGGGCTGTGTGTCACTGGGCTCTGGGCTGCCAGGAAGACCGGAACTCTTGACAGAAGGAGCACAGCAAGGCTGGGGATGAAGCCTGAGCCGGGCGCTGGAGGTCGGAGCTCTCCCCTGGCTCCTGGCAGCTGGCACCTTCTTTGACAGGGGTGTTTTCTTTCTGGACCTCAGCGTCTTGTCTGCTTGATAAAGAGGCAGCCGGGTCAGGGATGGCAAACACGCCCTCCCTCTGCTGCCGTCCGTTCTGTTCCCCGCATGAATCCAGGCCCAGCTAGAGA